TGCATTTAAAACTGTGACGACTTGTCTGACACCCGTATCTGGGCTCTGTGATGAGTTTGCACAGAAACCACTTTATCCACATCTCTTATTTCGGAATGGTGTGCAAAATCTGTAAATCTTTATCCTTACGACAGAAGTCCGAATTGATCCGAGCCAGCAAACTGGATCGAAAGATGACAAGACTCCAAGTATATTTTGGATCTGCAATGGTTGGCTCCGTTTGGCTTCAGGTCTGTCTGACTGGCCGCGCCTACTGCCCTATATGGCCTATGCCCGAGAGTGAGCTAGGCCAGCTGTAAGTATTGCTATAAATGTACTGTGAAATTTAGTACACCCAGAGAAGTAGAGAGCTCTAGCAACCATTGTAAGGGAGAGTGCGGGGGCGAGGGCACATAGTGTCACCTTTGAAAGTCTTCTCTCGTACTACCTCTAAATATTGGGTTCTGAGAATTGGAAAATAAGGAAATCTCTGAAATTTACTTGGTTCGACTCGGCCTGCTGCTCAGCTCGTCATTTCCAGGAAAACTCGTGGATGCAAACTGGAATTTTTTAAATTTCATCAGACAAATTTATACTAAACATACCTAAAAGAAAAGAAGCAAATTTCCGTAGTATTTATTGGCCGAGCGATTAGCGAAGCCTATTACTCCACTGAGGATCAAAAAGTTTCGCGTCTGTTTGTCTGTGTGTGTGTTTGTGTTTGTCTGTACGCACGATAACTCGAGAACGAATTGAGCTAGCGACCTGGGATTTTCAGGGTCGTTTTGTATCATAAAAAGACAGATCGAGTTCGAAGAACAGCATTCAAGCTCAAAAACTGGATTTTTAAAAAATCGAAAACCACAGGTCCCTGAAATGACGTTTTTTAAAAATATTTTTTAAATGTTTTCTATGGGGTAACTCATCAAAGTAGAGCCCTACGGGCGAAAATTTCGTCCGTTTGGCTCTATCTCTAACCGTTTAGGCGCCACAGGGAGTTTCTGACGAGCCCGTATCTTCGTGTATTTTTTTGCGCCTCCCAAATGGGGTGTCAGCGCCGCAGGCCTAGGTAGATGTATGCCAGGCGCGTCGCAGCCTAACAGTGTTTCGTGAAATATCGCGAAGCCTGTTACGCGAGACGTGGTCTGGCGTACATCTACCTAGTTTATTTAAATGTCATTAACTTTTCTTGGGCACGATAGGTTCTGCCATAAGGGGCCATCGTCAAGAATAATAATAAACTTTAGGGTGAAAGCAATAGGCACCCCTAACGGGTACCTAAAAATTCTAACGATAACTCGTTAATCGGTCGGTAACTTAAGGAAGGGTGCACAATCAGCTCGCTTACTACCCTGTTAAAACTAGGAGAATCTTAATGATCTTAGGCTTCGCCCGTTACTATTTCATTGGTTGAAAGAACAAAAAGAAGTGTGAAAAATTTAATTGTTATTAGTTTAAGGAAACCTTTTAACCTTGTTATCACTGTCATTTTAGGAAAACCTGCTGTGCACGATGATCCTACCCAAAAAATTGAAGGACAAGCCAGAAAAGTGGTACACTGTCTTGAACAAACTAACTGCTGACAATAAAGGTCCTAGCTGTGTTTAACAACTAGCTCTTGGCAAAGGCAAAATGGTCTCGTAAAACTTGAAAAAAAAATGTGTTTTCTTTTTTTAGAGAGAAAAGTGGGGAAATAAAGATGAAGCCAACCTAAACTAACTAGGTAGATGTACGCCAGACCACCACGTCTCGCGTAACAGGCTTCGCGATATCTCACGAAACACTGTTGCGCTGCGACGCGCCTGGCATACATCTACCTAGGCCTGCGGCGCTGACACCGAAGTCGGGTAGCGCAAAAGTTTACACAAAGACACGGGCCGGCCGGCCCGTCAACATCCCGTCACTTCGACTAAGCATGCAGGGTTGTACATTTTTTCGCTTGTTTTCGTTAAAAACTCCCTGTGGCGCCTAAACGGTTAGAGATAGAGCCAAACGGACGAAATTTTCGTCCAGAGGGCTCTATTTTGATGAGTTACCCATTAGAAAACTGTAAAAAATATTTTTAAAAAACGTCATTTGTGGGAGCTGTGGTTTTTGATTTTTTTTAAATCCAATTTTTGAGCTAGAATGCTCTCCTTCGAACTCGATATGTCTTTTTATGATACAAAACGACCCTGAAAATCCCAGGTCGCTAGGTCAATTTGTTCTCGAGTTATCGTCCGTACAGACAAACACACAGACAGACAAACAGCCGCGAAACTTTTTGATCATCACTGGAGTAATAGGCTTCGCTAATCGCTCAGCCAACAAACCTAACTCGATGCAGAAAATCAGAAATGCTTCTGTTAATGTAAAATAAAAATGAAGCAAACCAAAACTAACATGTTTGATTTTACCCATAGCATATATTGAAAAGGAGTGAACTCCAATCAAAGGGAAGATAGAGGCTAAAGACAAATGATGAAACTATGTTAAGTAAAATAACATTGAACAACGGGTCAGTTAAACCAAAATAAAGATTTATTTTAATCATGTAACAACACATAGCTGGAACCAATTAATTCTTAAAAAATTAAATAACAGATTCAATACAAATTACATAATTCATGTGCGCGCCACTGCTAGAGGGCATTGAAAGATCAGGGCGACGTTTAACTGGAGATTCTTCAAATGAATCATCACTCCTTCTCTTTCTTGCAGCTGCAGCAGCAGCCTCCCTTTTCTCAATTGAAGAGATTAAACTCGCTTTTGCTTCATCAATTTGTGCAAAAAAAACACAAAAAAACATTAGCATAGGAATGAACTGGAAAAATTATATTATAGCTAAAA